GACATCCCTGAGGAGATGCCACATAGACCTACCCTGAAGCATCCCTGGAAGCTGGAGAAGCCATGTGGAGACCCCTGTCAGTGCTGAGATGTTACAATGCCACTAGATCCAAAGATTTTCGACCCAATGGCCTGTGATCATCCTGCACTTGGCGTCATTGCATGTGTTTCATGAGTCTGAAGAAGACTTTATAGATTGGTATCAGACATATGGGCTAATATCAGACTTCTGGGTTTAGACTGGCCTGGATTGAGATGCTTTCTTAATGTACAATTACCCTTTATATAAAACTCTCTTGACTTCAACCTGGTGCTCCAAGATGTGAATGCAACATACCGGCATGAATCAGGGAACCAGTAGAGAGGTCTGAGGGGCTGGCCCCAATCTCTACTACGTGGACAGCTACCCCTTTCCCCAGAAGAATTTACTTCAGAGGCCAGCACTGAAGCTACAGCACAGGGAGAGGGACATGTATGATCAGAGCACATGGGGGCAAATGAAGGGAGAGGAAGACAGAGTGGAGCACATCCTGGCCCACCAGGCCTTAAGGATGATATCCCCCCTCAGAGCAGCCAATGCACAAAGAGGACCATATGGCCGGCCCCACTTTGAGACACGACATCCCTCACTGACCTGTAGCCCTACAGGGGACAACACTAGAGACACAGTGTCGGAACTGGGCCCGATCTGACCCCACCACACCGAGGCAAAACACTAAGGGTGTGTAACAGAACAGCAAGGGGAACAGAGCAAGGAAGTCCCAAGGGAATACCAAAAATAGACTTTGGGGCCAGGACATGACACCCCATCAGACTTGACTGGAAAACACTCCTAAAGGTCAACAAATAGACCTTGAACTATTTACAGGCTTTTCTTTTCTTTTGCAATTGGTTTTTTGGTTGTTGTTGTCGTCGTTGTTTTGTTTTCTTTTGTCACTTTTTTTGGTTCTGTCTTGGTTTTTGGTGCATATTATTATCTCTGCAGGTCTATCTAGATAAGATATGCTGGATAAACAATCTGGAGGAGAAAACAACAGGACCGATGGTTCCAGGGAGACATGGGAGAGGGGGAGGTGGGGGAAAGGACACAGTGTTAACCAACCCAGGGACAAGGGAACAACAAGTGATCCAAAATCAGTAGTGAGGAGGAGTAAGAGGCCTGGTAGTGCTTGATCAAGGGCAATGTAACCGAGAGGAATTACTGAAACCCAAATGAAGGCTGAGCATGATAGTGGGACAAGAAGAAAGTAAAAGGAAATAGAGGAAAGAACTAGGAGGCAAAGGGCATTTATAGAGGCCTAATTATAGGCATGTACATATGTAAATATATTTATATATGATGATGGGAAAATAGATCTATGTGCTCATATTTATAGTTTAGTGTTAAGGTAGCAGATGGACATTGGGCCTCCACTCAAGTACTCCCTCAATGCAAGAACACTCTGATCTATTAAATTGGCATTCCATGATTCTCACCTTCCTGACACGATTGCTGAAGACAAATGGGGTGCATAAGCAAAGGTGGTGAAGAAAGCTGATGGTGCCTGGCTATGAAAAGATATAGTGTCTGGGGTCTTAAAGGCTTGAAGGTAAACAAGTGGCCATCTAGCTCAGAAGCAACAAAGCCCACATGGAAGAAGCACACTAGCCTGTGTGCTCACGAGGTGTTGAAGGGATCAGGTATCAGACATCAAAGAACAAAAAAAATCATATCACTGTGAATCGGGGGGAGTGCGGTGTGGGGACCCAAAGCCCATCTGTAGGCAACTGGACATCCCCTTACAGAAGGGTTGTGGGGAGGAGATGAACCAGTCAGGGTGCAATATTACAATGATGAAACATACAACTTTCCTCTAGTTCTTAATTGCTTCCTCCCCACCCACTATCATGATCCCAATTCTACCTTACAAATCTGGCTAGACCAGAGGATGTATACTGGTACAGATAGGAACTGGAAACACAGGGAATCCAGGGCAGATGAGCCCTTCAGGGCCAGTGGTGAGAATGGCAATACCAGGAGGGTGGAGGGAAGGTGGGGTGGAATGGGAGAACTGATTACAAGGCGCTACATATAACCTCCTCCCTGGGGGACGGACAACAGAAAAGTGGGTGAAGGGAGACGTCGGGCAGTGTAAGATATGACAAAATAATAATTTATAAATTATCAAGGGTGCATGAGGGAGGGGGGAGCGAGAGGGAGGGTAAAAAATGAGGAGCTGATACCAAGGGCTCAAGTAGAAAGCAAATGTTTTGAGAATAATGAGGGCAACAAACGTACAAATGGCTTGACACACAATGGATATATGTATAGATTGTGATAAGAGTTGTACGAGCCCCCAATAAAATGATTTTTTTTAAACTGTAAGATATTTTAAAAAATGGATGAGAATACAAATGGTTCTTATTCATAAAACTGTAAAGGAATTGTGCAATTGACTATTGCCATGTCTGAGCAGGTCAGCTGTGCTTCTCTTTGTAAGTTTACTTCAACATCTGCTATTGCCTATATATGCATGGTTTTAAAATCCTCCTTCAAAGTAGCTGTAATAATTTAATGATTTCCTAATAAAGTAAAACATTTGACATGTGTTCATCTTTTTAAAAAAAAAAGATGTTCTGGGGTTAACTAGGATATCTGAGTTTCACCTGGATTTTAGAAGAAATGAAGATTTACTGATAATTAAAATAAATAAATAAAACTCTCTCTTATACACACATGAATTTCTATGGATTTGTTTCTCTAGTCTACCCGGACTAACACAGCACTGACAAGTCATATAAAGTGAGCGCAGTTTTGAAAACATTAATATAACATGCTTATATGTACTTAACCAAAAGAGATGCTTGGATGTCAAACGGCGATGCTATTTTACAGCCTGTTTATCACTACCATTAAAGGTGCCCTGCTAGCACAATGGTGAAGCTCTCAGCTTCTAGTCAAAAGGTTGGCATTTCAAATCCACCAGCCACTCTGCAGGAGGAAACTGGGGTGGTCTGCTTCTGTAAAGATTTACAACTTTGGGAGGAAGCCCCATAGTGCAACAGTTCTACCCTGTGATATATGCCCACTGTGAGTTGATATTGACTCAAAAGCACACAACGACTTATACTGTTAATTGTGGAAAGTATGTACATGATTCATCTCTTTGAAAACCAAACCAGCTGGCCATTCACAATGGGCTTTCTGGGGATGCTCCATCAAGCCTGTATGTGTAAGTGGTGCAAAGGACACCATCGGGAATGTCTGAGAGCTTATCCCATCTGAAGCTCAGAGAGGGGAAATTTCTTGTCCCAAGTAAAAAGATCAGACCTCGAGTTTGGATTTTTGGTAAAGTTATTAAAAATAAACCAAACCTGTGACCCCCCCAAAAAAATTCATCAGAGTTTATTCACTGATATTTCAGGTTGGTGAGTGATTGGATTACCCAACGAGTAAGTACTTATGCTTACTTGCTAATCTTTAGTGATTGAGTTCACATTTTTTCCCCACTACATCAAAGATTCTACTTCTAGGGATAGCTAGCATGGGTCTCTCTCCCAAACCCACAGTACCTTATGCATGGGGCCTCTCCTCAGCCACTGTCTGCTTCACTGAAGAGTTACAGCTCAGACACTCACAGAGGTGGTTCTATTCTGGCCTTTAGGGTTGCTGTGAGTTAAAATTGATTTGATGGCCATGAGTTCCGTTGGGTTTGTTTTGTTTTGTTTGTAGTGAACAATTTTGTTTGATTTTCATCCCATCTAAGACTTCATCTCTGGGATTAAGGACATATCAGATCTGGAATGCTTTGAAGCAACTTTGTATCAAAATTCCTTATAAGAGACTACCAGCAACCCCAGCATAGGATGGATGCTGGAGGAGGACATGGAGCATTTTATAGGACCCGCCAGCCCGGGTTGCGTAGTGGTCATACATTGGGCTCTGGAGGAGGACATGGAGCATTTTATAGGACCCACCAGCCCGGGTTGCATAGTGGTCATACATTGGGCTCTGATGCCCAAGGTCAACAATTAGAAACCACCAGTCACTCTGCAGAAAGGGATGGGGCTTTCCACTCCAGTCAGCAATTAATCTCAGAAACTCACAGGGGCCGTTTTGCCCTGTCTTACAGGGTTGCTTGCTTTGAGTCAGCATCTACTCCATGGCAGTGAGGTCTTATGGGGTTTTGTTATTTTGGGTTCTTGAGTTGTGTCCTATAGGCAAAGGGGAAGCAAGGATAAGAAGCAAAAAATTGAAAATTCTGAGGACAGAGACAATCCTTGAGAGGGGCAGAGCCCAGGGCACTTTGGGATGAAAGGGGAAATAGGAAGGAAAGGGAGGAGAGGAAGAGAGGAAGGCTGGCAAAAAAACACCAGATGCCCGGATGTTTTGAAGGACGTTTCGGTGGCACCATATGCAAGTGAGAAAACATGAATTGAAAACGATCTCACCAAACAGTTTGGAATTTAAAGGAGCGGTTCTGCTCAAACATACAATTGTCTATTGTGTGCTGAAGAATTTGGGTTTCTGTTTATTTTGAATATTCTGGGTTCTCGTTTTCTCTTAAGGAATACACTCAGGTCAGGGTGGAGGTGAAAAAGTCATTCAATCTGATTGATTTTTTTTCTAGAATGACAACTCAAAACTGAATCGCAGCCTTGAACAAGGTCATATAGCAAGACAAGAGGTAGGTGGGAGGGTGGGGAAGCCCCCTGGCAAAGAAAAACTCAGACCCTAAATTAGGTTAACTCACAGTGTAGTCCTGAGAAACAATACGTTGACAGCTTGATATTCAGGTTTTCGAGGTGAAAAAAGAAAGGAAGAAAGCTCAAGTGTGTAGAATAAGCCTTTCTCATCCCAGAAACTACTATGAACTCAATAGTTTTCTTGGCTGCAATGACTTGTAAATATCTAGAGGAGCCCAGATTTTCAAGCCCCGAGGATACTTGCTAAAAATGAAGAATTTTGGCACCAGTCTCTGCATACAATTTGGGGTTTCTTTTTCAGAGTTGATATCTTACCAAACAGAGCCATCTGTGTTCCCTCTGGGAAAGGTTCGACTGTTCTGTTGCCATTGACATGATGTTTGGCTAGAAAGGAAAAAAAGGAAAGAAAGAAAGAAATGTAAGTTTCAGTGTAAAGTTCTACACACATGCTAACACATGTCATTAAATGTGACAAGGAATCTATTTCCCATTTTTAGCAATAAACGACACCCATGCTTGGCCTCTGCAGAAAGTTTCGACTGTTTTTTTCTCAATATCACAGTTAGAGAGAACCCTAGACAGAGATCACTGTAGTTCAGTACTTTGGTTTACAAATGCGTATGCCTGGGCCGAGCTTGGACAGAGTATAGCATCGATGGTGGCAGTCCTGCAGGAGGAAGGCCCCTGACTGCAGGCCAGGGCTTCCCGCTGTCCTCTCGAGGCAGCCAGGCTGTCCTCTGGAGAGCAAGGGGTCCCTAGTTCTGGGCTTCTCTGGGGTGGTTTCACCCTTAAATTGCCTGAAAACCAGAACACTAACCCAATCAGGATCTAAAGTGAGAAGTAAAGTTAAAACCAACTCCAAGCTCATGCCATCAAGTCATTGCTGATTCATAGAGACCCCCTGGGATTTTCCTAGACGGTGACGGTTTACAGGAGTAGAACACCCCGTCTGGTGGTTTGACCTGCCAACCATGCAGATCAAAGCCCAATGCGTAACCACTCGGCCACCAGGGCTCCTAGAAGTAAAGACAGTGGGACCGACTTTTCAAGAAACAGAATAGTAGTAGCTGCGATTCAAGCACTAGTTTCAGGACCAAAGATGGATATTCGCTGCTTCCTGTTACTCTTTACCCCCCAGTCTCCTCAAATGATCATCCTTCCCACATCAGTGCAGGCATAAGTGACCAGACTGTACTTTTCCAGCACTTGTTTGTTCTTGTAGTCTGGAAGCAATTACCCTATGGACAATATTTGAGCATGTCTCATTTGTGAGTAGTTTAATAATATCCTCGGTAATTTTAACGTGAGCATTTCTATAGGCAATACATAAAAATGATATATAGTTTAGATACTGTGAGCACACATGTACTTTACTTGGTAGGTTACATTAGGTGGATTGACTTATTGGGTGTATTAAGCTCCAACAAAAGAGCCAACACTGAAGCTGGAATCAGGGATCTGGAGGAAAGGTACGGCCTCGAGGGAAAGGGCCCTCAGGTAAAAGATCTCAAGGAGGGTACATTTACCTTAAAGAGGCAATTCAAAAGCAAACAATAAAAGAAAGCTTATCATTAATGGTGTACTGAGTCCGGGACTGTAGTCTACTAGGACTCTGAGAGTTAGCAGAGGGAGAGCAAGGTGGGAAGTCAGGGTCCACTTCATGGAGGAGCTGAGGCTGAGGTAGGGTCTCAAAGAAGAGGTCGAGTTTGGAAAGAGAGAGAATGAAGACGCTACTTACATTAGAGTCAGGTGTAGCTATTACCACCACATCTTCCTGGGCCAGGGAAAAATCTGGTCTGAGTATGGCAGAGGGGATATGTTGAGACTCACTGGCAATTAAAAATAGATTGGGAGGCTAGGCTCATGTCATTGCAGGTCGTAAAGACCCTATTCAAATTTATGGGAGCCCTAGACAGTTTTCAGCATTGGAGCTTAAATTCTGAGCACCCCAGTTTGCAATACGGGGTCATTACAGCCCAAAATTCATTTGCAGAGTCCCCAAATAGATTAATCCTCCATTGAATTCATTCTGATCTTTAACCAGTTATGTAGATAATTTTGCCCTCAAGTAGAGTGCCCTGAGAATAGATTGTCTCCACCCTTCTCCAGCTGTGGGGCGGAGGCAGGGTGGTGTCTTTTTCTAAGGGGCTTGCCTGGGTTGTCCTTGATGGAGGTCCCTGTACTGGGGACAATACAGAGCCCTGCATTCTTATGAGTCATGTCCTAGCAGTCTGGCTCTGACTGCCTTGTTGGGAGGCTCTGTACCAATCTTGGAAGCCCTTCTATATAGCAATGTCTGTGTTCCAATCTGGGTTCTGTTCCCACTTCTGTGGTCCCGCCTGTAAGTGTGATTTATTGATCTGCTACCAATCAATAATTTGTGATGGTTCCCTTTGTTCCCTGCCCTATTTTCCAGCTTCCCAATTCTGAATCACGAAACACCATTCTGACCGTGTGCTCCCTCATCTGGACAGTGTGTCTGTGTGTTTGGGTTGGTTATCTTTGTCCATTTTAAGACTTAATGAATGTGTTCCTCACATTATATTTGAAATTGGGGTCGCCTTTTCACCCTAAAACATTCCCGAACCACTAAAAGTCTTGCAGAATCTGAAGGCTTTTAAGGCTCAATCTAGTTCAGCTAATCCTTCGGGGATTCCATCAAATGAGAAGTTTGGGAGCTTCTGCCGGTTCAAAGACTTGTGACATTATCCGAAAAATAGAAATCCTGGGAGGAGAGAAGGAGCCATCACAGAGTTCAGAGTGAAACCTAGCAGGCTCCACAGCCTGAAAGTAGTGTCTAGCCATTAACTGGCACCATTAGCCGACATAGGAAGTATGGTCCCAGGTGGTCAAGTGACATCTGCAAGTGTATACTCCAATAGTTAGAATCAAGAGGTGCTGAATCCACGGAAATGAGGTGGCAGTTCTGTTCAACAGCTAGAGAGACAGATCAGAATTCCTGGAGGTGACTTAGAAAAGATTTATCTCTACACATAGCAAAAACGACAAACCCATTTAAACTTTTTCACCCACTAGTCCCACTTTTAAGATGTTATTCCAAAGAAAATGTGAGCAAGAAAAGGGAGTAAACGTAACAATGTTTACTACTGAAGCATTCGTTACCTGTGAAAATAAAACCTTAAAATCAAATATCCCAAAGTAGGGAAATTGCTGAGAATGCGATATTATGAAACTTATTTGAAAGACAGCATTAAAACTTTGTTATCCCAAGGATGGGAAAAATTGCTTAGAAAGCTGTAAGTCACAGTTTTATCCACAGACTGGAATATAATGCAACATTTGTAGGGATAGCATTTATTTATTTATTTATTTATTTATTTATTTATTTATTTATTTATTTTCGTAGAGCTAGCATTTAAATACAGCTACATAGAAACATGGAAAGGTATTGGGGACAATGATGAGTGAAAGACATCCTACTGCTTATTGCATGTTGATCATAATTACAACTAATTAAAACATGAATTATGATGGAAAACACTTGCGAAGAAACAAGCAAAAATAAAAATAACTAGGGAGTCCGTGAGAGGTACAAACACTTGGCCGCTAATCAAGAGGTTAACCTGTAGCGGCCTGAGGTTATCTGCCAGAATGGTTCGCTACTCGACCCAGGAAACCCCACGAAATCATGCAAATCAACAGGGTTGAATCTGTGGGTTCACTTTAAGAGCACCGGGACACTGCCCAGGCTAGCAAGGGTATACATAACCAGAAAGCCACCCAATATTTTAAAGACATCACTTTGCAGAAGCAGTGTGTGCCCTTCCGACGTTACAATGGTGGAGTTGGTAGGTGTGCCCAGGCAAACAGCAGGGGTGGACTCAGGGTGGGGTGCCCAAAAAGAGGGCTGATTTTTTGCTGCACAGGCTTAAAAATGCAGAGTCATGCTGAACTGAAGGGCTTAGATGTGCATTCTCTGGTCACTGAGCACATCCAGGTGAACCAGGCCCTCAGGATGCATCACCAGACGTAGAGGTCATGGTCAGGTCACTCCACCCCTGAGCTCCCCCTGCCGCATTGAAAGGATCCCGACTGAAAAGAAACAAATTGCTCCTAACCCAAAAGAGAAGGTTGCATAGAAGCAAAAGATCTCCCAGAAGAAACTGAAGAAGCAAAAACATATGGCTTGGAAGTAAATTAAGCTTAAAATACAAGTTAAAACAGGAAGAGGAAAAAAAAAGAGAGATTAGCAGTTCATGTCCATTCAGAGGCAGCTCAGAATAAAGGCCAGGCGATCACCTCCAGCCATTTGGACCCGGAGCACAGTTCTCTTCTGACATGGCGGCAGGCAGATCGTGTGACTTCTCTTGAGAATGAAATGAGTGAATACAGGTATAGCATGTGTAACAGTGTTTGTCACATTCCAAACACTACTTTAACTACTGAGCTAGCAGGACTACAACACTGTTTCCACAAGACCTGGGGCAGAAGTGGCACCTGTTTGCCTCTCTTCCACCTCCGGACCCATGTAAGACACCACTCATCAGCCACAGCATTCTGAATGTGATTACAAAATTCTTTCTCAGCATAGCTTTCCACAAAATCTTGGGTTATTTGGAAGTCAGGTTGCCATTCTTGATATAAGTTTATCAGAAATGGTGCAAAGGGAAAAAAAATAATTTGCTTTCTCTTTTCTACTTGATAAAGGGTTCGTGGGGGGGGGGGAAGGGGGAGGGAGGGGGAGAATGGGGAGCTGATATCAGGGGCTCAAGTGGGAAGAGAATGCTTTTGAAAATGATGATGGCGTGTGGGAAACAGAAGGATTTCTCCCAAGTTGTCTCCCCCAAATATATGCCAAACTTAGCTGTGTGCGAATGAATATACACTTCGAGGTCATCAGAAGTAGATCAGGGATTATTCTCCCTAAGGGTTATCAGCCATCTAGAGCAAGCAGTCACTACTGTTTATCCCATAACAAGTAGGGCCCACTCCCTTCTGATAAGGATAGTAGTTGTCTGTTTCCTTGTAGGAGACCCCAGAGAGATCAAGCCCGCCCAAGGGTGGCCAAAGTTAGGCAGCCATCATGTATCTAGGGTCTGCCCATCTTGTCACATGTATACCTCTAGTTCCTCCCCTTCCTATCATGTGTACAGCCATAGCTCATCCCCTTCCTATGATGTGTATGCCTATTGTACTGCCCCTTCCTGTGACGTGTGGTTATCTGCAATCACACCCCCCTAAGTAGATAGAATCTGAATTGTTAAAACAGAAGGGGGAGAAGAATAACCCCAACCTACTTCTGATGACCTCCAAGTGTATATTCATTCATAAGCAGCTAAGTGTGGCATATATTTGGGGGAGACAACTTGGGAGGGGGAGACAACTTGGGAGAAATCCTTCTGTTTCCCACAATGGCGGCATAT